CAGTCTAGTCTAACCCAAAGGCTTGGACCCACGATCCCATCTCATCCAACCATCCTTGATCTCTACTCGACCAACGACGTCGATCTTGGCTTCTTTTTCCCCTTTGGTTCTCTTCCCTCTCCTCTTCCTTCTCTTTCCTCTCCCACCCACTTTCGCTCTCTTCTGAGCGACTGCCACACGGAGCCTGCTTTACATCCTCTCTTCGATCGATTCGCCTCTCATGTTCGCGTTATAGAAGAGCCCTCGGTCGATTTCTCTTCTCCCTCTCCTTCTTCTCCCCCCGGTCTCCCTCCTTCGTCTCACCAACCATCGACGTACCCATACGCCACGCCATTCCTTAGCACTCGTGCTCCCTTGGCCCAACACTAGCGGTTTCCTTGTGCCAAGGTACGTCAGTGTAACTGCTCCCGACTGACTGGAGAGGCCTTGATATCAAGACTCGTCACCCCACCTCGACTCAGATAGCCGAGTCCATCCTCTATCCCTAGGGACCCCTTCTTGGAAAGAGGCTAATCCCGTCACTTACACTACAGCCGGTCACTCGAAACCTCTTACCCCGACGACGACTGCTTGACTGCGGCCTCATCTGTCCCGCTTGACCTTTGCCTGGTTCCAAGCGATTCCGACGACCCGACGCCCACCGCGGAGCCATGAACACGCCCTACACCCCCCGAAATACGACGGCCCTGCCCATCGACACCAACAACCGCGACTCTTCAGACAACTCGCATCGGGGCCGTGATGCCCTGAGGTCTCGCCCTATCCCCGTTCCCGTTTCTGCTCCCGCTCCCGCTGCCGCCTCCCTTGCGCCCGCCTCCCGTCGTCACGACCACGCATATGCCGTGCTGTCCACTAGTCCTTTGGCTTCCTTTACGCTCCCAGATGTATCTGTCACAACGCCGCCTCTCGCCCACTTCCGTGCCAATACAATAGCGCCATCTCCCCCGATCCAGCAAGGCGAGCTGCCGCCCCCTCAGCTCGCTGCCTTGACTCCAGACTTCTCTTCACCCGCTACTAGACGCTCTCATAGTCCTCTGGGATCATTGCGTATCTCAACGGACTTTCCTGCTTATCCTTCAACCCCATCCAGACGCGAATCTTTCAATGGCAACGGTAGCTCGTCCTCGCGTGGTTCTTTGACGCTGAACCACAGGGCTTCGGCCAGTAGCTTGCGCCCCATCTCAAGAACCCCGAGCCTCAAACAGGCCTTGGCCAATAGTATCGGCACCGCCAGTGGAACCAGCAGCTTGGTTCCCAGCCCTATTATATCTGCCATGGGCGACGTCACTCCGCTCCCGAGTCCCCTGATGTCTGGCGACTCCCCTGGACCCTGGAAGAGGCTGAGCGCGGGTTCTGCGTCACCTCCGCAGCTCCGCCTCAAACCTGTCGGAGAAGGCTCTGTCCTCGTCACGAGCAACGGCGAATCCATCGACGCGGCCCTTGCCAACGGCGCCAAGCGTAAAATATACTCTACTCTTGAGCCTGGCGAGCATGTACCGACACAGACCACGACCAGCCAACCTCGACACCCTCATACTCGAAACCGAAGTGTTAGTGAATACATTCCTGACCCTATGGGCATCCCTAAGAGACAAATTTCTGTATCTGGAACCCACCCCAAGATTGAAGCTTCGGAACATCCACTTGAACCTCATATCCGACGAGAACTCAACTTCGCCCAGTCTCGTGGCCTCACACCTTCTGTCGCTCAACCACCCACTCCTCCCCCGAGCGAGTCCTCGCGAGACTCTGCCGATGGCACCAGCAAACCTAAAGGACCTAGCTTCGAGTACTTCGAGGCCTTTGGCCGCCAGGATAGGAAACGTCGCCGATGGAGGGCTGTACGACTACTTGGCCAAGGAACCTTTAGTAGGGTCATGTTGGCCACAAGTCAGATAGAACCTGACGAGGATTCTCCTGAAGTCGACCATGGACGGCTTACACCGAAACCCGAGCAGAGCCTTGACCGCAAGACACTAGTTGCTGTCAAGGTGTGTGAGCATGGACCCAAGGGCGGCGCCAGCGAAGAGCGGGTTGAGATGAGCCTGAAGCGGGAACTCGAGATTATGCAATCGATCCACCATCCCTCTCTGGTTGACCTCAAGGCTTGGAGCATTGAACCTACGCGGGCAATTCTCGTCTTGAGCTACTGCCCTGGAGGCGATCTCTTCGATGTTGCGACCACTCATCGCTCCGTTCTTGAGGAACCGCTGATGCGAAGAATCTTTGCCGAGTTGGTTGGCGCTGTGAGCTATCTTCACGAAAGGAGAATCGTGCACAGAGATATCAAGCTCGAGAGTAGGTTCCCTAACCCATACATGATTTGCAATGGCCAAAGTTGACATGCTTCCAGATGTGCTTGTGAACCTCACTCCTTCTGAACTCGCAGATCCATCCATTGACTGGGCGACTTATCCTCACTCTGTTGTCATCCTGACCGACCTGGGCCTCTCACGACGTATTGCCGACGACGAGAAGCTCGAAACCCGATGCGGATCCGACGACTACGCAGCACCCGAAGTTATTATGGGCCAGCCCTACGACGGGCGAGCGACTGATGCCTGGTCACTCGGAGTACTACTCTACGCTATCCTCGAGGCTCGACTACCCTTTGACCCCCACCCAGGCATGAGTGACGCACACCGCATGCGCAGCCGCACCAGCCACCGCATAGCCAGGGTTGAGTGGCGATGGGTTGAGTACGCCGGAGACGACACTGACCACGATGGTGACGAGGCCAAGTTCAAGGAGAAGGGCCTCTTGGGCGCCATGGAGATTACGGAAGGATTATTGAAGCGAGCGAGGGGTCGATGGACCGTCGAAAAGGTGGCCAAGACGGCCTGGGTTCAAGACGCGATCAAAGTGGAAGGCGGATTGCGATTCAGGGAAGAAAAAGACGGCGAAGAAGTGGCCTAACTGAACCCGAATCGCTCCTCCACACCAACATCGACATTGCTTTTAACCTCGATAACCCTCGACTCTCGCTTCGACTTCTAACCGTTCTACTCACTTCATACACCCCTCCTTTGTCGAGCTGACCGTTGCTATGAGCCGGATTCTCTCGCTTTTACAGTTGACTTGCAACTTGTTTCGAAACACCTTGTACGAAAGACCAAAGACGAAAGATGTGGAAGAGGTTCCATGGATCCCGGAATTGGTACGATGGCCGCCTACAACAACGAAGACACGGCGGCAAAGACAGGGTTTCTTTGTCAATGAATACACGACGGGACAAGGGGACACGGAATAACGGATAACCGGGGAAAGATAACGTAGCGGCAAAGGACTGGGATACGGTGTTGCCGGTTGGTTTGGTTTGGCTCATGCATGCATGGTTTACTCGTGATTACCTATGGTTCGGTTTGATTCGGTTTGTGTTCTTGTAGTTTTAGCTAGCTGCTGCGTTCCCCTCCTTCTTTTCTTCTTCTTCTCATTTCCCTTTCTTGTCTGGCTACTTACTTCCTTCGTTTCTTGTCTTTTTTTTCTTGTTTACATCAACTCGTATCATACCACAACGTAAGCTTCTGGGAGTAGAAAAAGGTTATACCAAAAATGGATAGACAAGGTGTTTGAGCTTCTTTTATATCTATTTTATATGTTCAGGCTGCATGTCGGCTTTTCATTTACTTGTTTCCTTTTTTATTTCATGTCTTCTTTTTTACTCCCTTCACTTCTACACACCTTCTTTCGTTTCTACAGCCTATTGGGGGAAGGCTCACTTGTTATTCGATACATGTTCTCTGGCCTGAATTTTGGGGGGTTTGGGTGGGTTGCTATGATTGGAGACGTTGATGCTTGGTGTACGCTGTATGCTATATGCTGTATGCCGTGTAGGATATCGTTAAATCGAACAAGATGCCAGAAGATGTCTCATTTCATCAAGTGAACAGATTTCCAGACGAGTCATGGTTAGGGATCTGCAATGTGATATTTTGTCTGAGTCGATGACACTGCCTCGCAACCAACCTTAATTCGACCTCGAGATGGCTGGGCAGATTTCTCGCGTTTCGAGTTAACAATGTCGATCTCTTTGCTAACCAACCAACTGGAGGTGCCAAGCGGTGAGTCGCGAGTTGTGCTTGATTGGCCTCGTCGGCCTCGAAATCCCACGCATCGGCCGCTCTCGTCAGCAAACCAAACTCAACTGCCGAGACCACATCACACTATCGAGCACGGCACGATATGTATGTCAGAGCGGGCTGACAAGAGAAAAAAGAAGAAGGAACAGACCTGCAGCAATCGTCAGCCAAAGTGATGTCACAAAAAAGATATACCCCGATCCAAAGACCGGCCATGTCTCAGCTCGCCCGCCTGCCGGTGTGAGTGTGGGCTGTGGCTGGCCTCATCTGCTCATCTCAACCTTGGCGGGCCTGGCCAACGACAAGTCTCGTCCTTCACATGACACAGCTGCAAGAGCCGCCTGTGGCGCTCGGGAATCTGACGAGCTGATGAGCCCACTGAAATGACGAGTTTGCTTCTCTGTCAAAGGGGGAACGGAACTGCGGCGCCATCTCCGCGGTTCAAAGTCAAAGGGCAGAGTGGCAGGGCAGGGGTTGCCGGCATCAGAGCTGCTGCTTGTGACATGGACCTCTCTACCTACTGAGACAGGTAACGGCGCCATGGCCCATGGGGCAGTGGCAGTGACCTGAATCGCCGGCGGCACATGGAGCTTTATCCGGCGGCATTGCATAGCATCCGTCCGCCTCATGTTGGTACTCAGCTGAGCATGGCCAGGACAAAAGAGCTGAGGCGCATTCATTAACTTGCAGTGTCCGTCGGTATTTATGGCCACTGTTCTATCGTCGATTCGGCCGCTCACTCGGCCGAGTCTCGCTCCGGGACCTGACCGTTGTTGGATCAGGGGTTTGGCCCAAGGGTGGGTTGTTGGCAGCGATCATGGAACGTTCCATTCTGATAACGTGGGAACAACCTTAACAACCTGCCTACCCAAGCGCGCAGTCAGCTGTGATTTGCTGCAGCACCCCCGTCTCTCGCTTATCATGGGCTGTAGGTATTTCTCATTTGGGGAGGACATTGTGCTCGTAATCGTAGAGTTCGTGTTGACATCTGTAGGGCATATGTTGATTAGGCCGCCGGCCGTCTCAGGTTTGGAACTAGTCGCCTATGGACAATGTCCATGGGCTTCGGTCTGCTCGGGGCCCATTGCCCTATTCGAACGGCAATTCTCTGCTTCATCTCAACCCCAAGTGAAGCCAAAAGACACTTGGACCATCGGCGAGAGCCGGCTTGGTTACAGGGCAGGGCAGAGGAGTCAAGAAAGAGCCGGGTCTCACAAAACCCCCACATGGCTCTGTCCATTCTGTGATCCAGCCGCTGAACTCCTTGGCAGCTGCTCGCTCGTAAATGTCATGTTGACATGGGAAGAGGAAGGTTAATAACTCTAACCCGCCGTTTACGCTTAGCTCTGCTCCATGAATAGAAGCAGCCATCCATCATAACAGCCCTGCTATTGCGGAAGAGTCGACTCAAACTTCACAAGCAGCCGACGCCATTGACGGACCACGGACGACAAGACCTCGGCGTGGCCTCAGAAACAGCCGGTCGACAAAGCGTGGCGGCGCCACGGCCGAACGCCTCTCAAGCAGCGGGGGATCAGCGACGTCCAACAGAGTTTCTCAGCCCCAATCCAATGGCCATCCCCTCCCCTGTTGACGATGCCATGCCATGCCGTGTCCTGTCGTGCAATGCCATGCCGTGGCTTCAGAAGCCCGTCAGCTCTAACCATCCTCTCTCAGGTCATCAATGCCCTGCCTATGCCTGCCCCGTGTGTCTGTTTCTGTCGGCAACGGGCGCGGCGTTCGGCTGCATCGGGAGTCGAGTCCTGGGTTCGTCGGTGGCGCTCACGGCTAATGCTCCCAAGGACGGGACAAGCCAGCGCGAAGTCTTCTGGAAAATCGTAGAGACCATCCTTTCTGCCTTCTGGCGGCGAGCCCTCGTCTTGGTCTGCAGCCTTCTTGCAGCAACCAAGACGCTCGCTGGAATGCAGATGCAGGCTCGCCCCCTCGGCAGATTTCCCTGCTCGCCCGACGGCTCCAGGGGCTGTTCTCTGCTCGTCATGATTGGCGCTTCTCGACGTGGGTGGTGGCTCCGTCAAATACACCTTCTGCTTCAGGCAACATGGTCGCATGCTCTCACAAGCCCACCCCTGAAAGCTGTTCTCTCACTGGCCCAGCTCGAGAGCCGGCCATCGACACCATGGATGGCGTTGCCGTGCTGGTGTGGCCTTGTCGGCCCTTCTTTTTCTGTGCTGAATCGCTCACCCGTCCATTCACGCTTCTCAGCGCGCCGTCTCTCTCTTTCTCTGCACAGCCCTTTGAATTGCGTCCAAGGCCAACCGCAGCACTCTCTCTGCCTCTCTCTCTCTTGTGATCTTCGTGTGCCGTGTCCGTGCCTGAGCCTGAGCCTCGGGCACCCCCAATCTTAACCGCAGAGGCCCCCTGGGATACGTCCTCTTATCTCCCTCAACCACCCCGCGGGCGACGCTCCAGACTCCTGTAGACAGCAGATTGGCTTGCCCTTCTGGGAAACTTAGGCGAAGGAACTTTTGCTGGCCCTCTCTCACGCGCATCGCTTGGCGTTCTGTCCGTCGTCTCTCCCCGTCTTGTCTCTGGCCCTCGTCGCATTGACGGCCCTATCATAGCACCGCCCATATCTTGTCTCTGCTGCTTCTTGCTGGTGCGTCAAGTCTGGGGAACGATAACGTTAGCAAGCCCTGGCCGTTTTCCCTTGCTGTTACCGTCCTACCGTCGCCGCAGAGAGCAAACCCCCCCAGTCCAGTTCCAGCCCAGTCCACTCCCCAGCCCGAACCCAGACCCGCTCTCTGCTTGTCCCTGCTCGCGCTTGGTGTTGGTGCTGGTCCTGCTGCTGCGCTGCTGCTGCTCGCTCGGTCGTGCTGGTTGCTGGCTGGTGCTGTGCGTGCTGCTGCCGCGGGCTGCTTGCTAGTTACTCTCTCTCCTTCTCGCCCTCTCCCACTCGCTCTCTCTTTATTATTATACGTACCTTTAATCATGGGCGCTTCTGCCCGCCTATCCATCCTCCCGCTCTTCGACCACCAACTGAGCTCCATCGCTCGCCACCTTGACGAGTGATGAATCCTCGCATTGGCGACTGAGGACCCAGCCGAGGCTTTCCACTCGCCTCAGCCCGTCACTGACTGCTCTTGAGCCAGCGGTACGGGCATCTCTTGTCCGCCCTGCGCGCCTCCAGGCGAACATGTTCAATCAACCATCCGGCGGGCCTCGTGCTTCCGACTCCAACGGGCAACCCTCTTATGGCTTCACCGATCAAGCCTGGCCAAGGTATGGCCTCGCCAACAACTCGGCTTCCTTCTCGACCGACCATTCCCAGTCCATCTATGCCTCAGACCGGCAATATGGCGACTCCTCCGGCATGGACTGGGCGCCGACCCCAACCGACTATCAGACACGCTTTCAACACCAAGACGCTATAACCGAAAATGTCGAACTCGACAACATGAGTCCTCAAGCCGGAGGCGGCGTTGGTCGTCTTGTCGCGCATTTCGAGAACAAAGGCTTTGCGCCGCCGCTTCCCCCGAGACCATCCAACACGATATCAAGTCCAGTCAACCAAGAGCCGTCTGTTTCGTCGCCGTTCGGTACCTTCAGCGTCGCATCTCCCATCCTCACGAGCCCTCTCGCCAGCCCTTCCGAACCCAACTATGGGCTTCTGGGTGACCAGTCGAGGGTCGCCAGCCCGATTGCTAGCCCACCTCCCATAGCATTTGGCGGATATCATGATATGTCGGTATCCAGTCCAGGCGTTGGATCCTCGTCCGGACACTTTGGAAGTATGAATAGCTTCATGGTCAACAACAGAGTAGCCACCCCCATGGAAACAACCATGGCTGCGTCGCCCATGGTGGCAGCCTCCATGATGAATAACCCCAAAGTCGCCTCTCCGAGCCCGGCTGCTCCAGGTGTGCCAGGCACTCCTGGGTTTGCCATTTGGCGACCACCTGTGCCAATGACTCCCAAACCTACCATGGATCAATTCCAAGGTACTAGTAGTTCCTCCACTTCCGGTGGCTATTTCGCAAAACCTCCCATCCCCTCAACTCCTAAACCAGTCATGAATGCTGGAAGCCAGCTCGTCTTGGACTTCAACTCCAACTCTGGCTCCATTGCAAAGGGCAAGGCTCCAATGAGACCTCCCGCGAAACCAAGACACCCAGTTCGACAACCATCACGATCACAAATATCCACACCCGCAGCCTTCAGTCCTGCTATCAAACGTGAACCTTCAACACCACACTTATCTCAAGCTTCTCCTGCTCCACATACATTGGCGGTATGTCTCTCACACTTTTCCCTGGGCGAATCAACATGCTAACGGCCATTGTCAGAGTGAACGCAGAAGTTCAGTATCCCAAAGATCACAAACAGGGAGTCGACCTTCGAGGGAACAAGTCCCTGCGGAGGCCTGGGAGTCGTTCAAGAACACGATTCGAACTCTCTACCTCGATGAACGAAAGCCGCTCAAGGAGGTCATGTCCATCATGGCTGACAAGTACGGCTTTCAGGCAACGTAAGTTTCGCTCCTAGGTTGCATGATCATTTCTCACGCTCCACAGCCCCAAGATGTACAAAACTCGCTTCTCACAGTGGGGTTTCGTCAAAAACAACACCGAGGAGGAGGTTAAGCGTCTGCTCTCGAAGAAATTTCAACGAGATGCTGAGGGAAAAGTATCCGAGTTTGTTCGCAACGGCAAGGTTGTCAACCTGGGCACGTATCTGAAGCGAAAGGGCGTCACCGAGTACGACTTGATCGATTTCGAGTTGCCGGCCGAGCTCCCAGCTCACATCCGATGTCGAACTCCGACTCCTCCACCTGCGCCAGGATACCTCCAGTCCCCTGATCTGCTCCGGGCGCAGGAGACTATCATCAGCAACATGAGGAAGGCCTTTTTGCAGTGTCGACAATTCGAGGTGGAAACCGATGCTCAGGTTGGATGGCAGACCATCATGGTGTGGGGAGCAGGATCCAGCGATCTTTTGCTCGAGGCAAACCACAACTTCGAAAGGAGGGACACTGACCAGGGTGGACATTTCCTAATGAAGGCCTTCAAGCAGCTCGAAGTCGATTTGAAGAAGCTATCACCCCAAGGAATCCAGGAGCTGCTTCTTGGTATGGTCCGTCGTGATCCTGGCATGATGACGGCCTTGTGCAAGTATCTGGCGGCATACTCAACAACCAACTTTGAGCGGTCACATCCTCTGCGACAAATCTTTGCCTGTTTATATGAGGTTCAGCAAAAACACGGCCCAGGGACACTCTCAGACCTTTTATGGGCCAGCATCCCCACCATTGCGGAAGAATTGGAGGCCATCTATGGGCGAAAACATCCGTATGTGGCTCGAACGTGGACCGATTTGGCGACCTTCTATAACCACGCGAACCCCGAGCGATTGGAGAAGTTGGTGGCAGAACTTCGACTTCTGCAACGGCAAATGGAGCACCGACAAGGCGCAAACAGCGTTGAGGTCTTTGTGTTGCGATATACCATTGTACAACTAATGGTTGCTGCACATCCCCAATCAGATGCAACGAAGCAAACGACCATCGATCTGTGGCATCATGCGCGAGGGATGGGACTCATATTCCCTGTTCGAGGTCAACAGCCCAACGTCTTTTGTTATCACAGTCCCGTCAAGGTCGATCCTTGGACGAAGCGATGTCGACGAAGATATGACTCTGGAGTTCGGCTTCTCGAGGAGCATGTGGGCGTGCAAGTCATCCCATACTTTGAAGAGGACTTTCACACGACGGAACACGCCCCGGAGCACATGCCACAGCAGCAGCAACAACAGCAGCACCACCATCATCAACAACAGCAGCAACAACAACAACAGCAACAACAACGTGCGCCGCAGCTGCAGGCGCAGGACTCGTGGGCGGCCGCAATGGAGCAGCAAATGGGGGGCAACAAGTGGTCGTTCATCTGAGCAGGATCTCTGGTCGACCATTAGTTCTCGCTAGCCCAACAAACCCCAACCTGCCATGTGCTCGCCCCTACGACACCGGCCTCTTTGAAAGACGTGGACGACGAACATGTCATCAACGACTGAATGACGTACCTAGTAAAACGTTCCTCCGAGACGATGCAAATGCCCCCATGTGCAGTCTCACCGACCCCCGTATACACAGCCTGGAGTCTGGCACCAGCATATATTTTTCTTCTTTTTTTCTCGGCGTTTCCGGATCGTTGCCCATTGCGGCTGGACGATGGAATCTTGGACATTACCGTACTCTTTTTTCTTGCATTATCCCCCCCCCCATGTATATTAGGAACCACGCGAGGCCATGCATTGGACGAAATTCGGGGTTGAACAGGCGGAGTTGAAGGTGACGGTGCATCAAGAGAGGGATGAAAGGATGAAGAAGGGGAAGAAAAGGAGAATTATTGGAAAGAGGGCGCGATAAGGGAAGGCAAAGGGCAGGTCATGGGAAGGAAGGAAGGAAGGAACTGGAGGACATCTGATTTTTTACATCTTTTTTTTTATAATCCCTCCATCGACGAGGGAAGGCGATACCCAAAAACCCCTTCAACCTACAGACCTCGAGATAGGCGCATCCTGCAGCGAGAGAAAGAAACGGGAAAATCTTTTTTCTCGTGAGGCAGGCAAATTTTAGAAAGAGAAATACCAACAAAACATTCTAAACTCGGGACTCTACCTATTTACGTGCATTACCTCTGTTGAAGTGATTAACCCATGGCATACTCAGAGGGCAGATATCGGCAACCCAGCAAGACAAATACAGTTTCCAACACAATGAAGCCATCATCCCCTCTGTGATGTTGAACGTCTTCATATGATGAGACACAATTAGCTGTAAACAGTGTTGTATATTGAAGACGCAGAGATCCCGTTACCCGACATATCCCCGGCGCAAAACTCAACTCCCAGAAATTCCCATCATGACAAACATTTACACTCCAGCTCCAAGCTTCAATCCCCCACAATGCGTCTCGCTCGTCCGTCAGTCCTAAAAGGACGGCTCTCACTCCCTTTTCACCGTTTATACTCATCATCCCGCACAATTCAAGGTCCAAAGCTCGCCAATCCAGCCTCTAAGACTCCATCATGCTAACTCTCCTCTAGAAAATGACGTCCTCTTTCTGCGACAGCAGGGCAAAAGAGCTCCTAAATGGCACCTCACCTCTCCTCTCCGCGCCGACTCTCGAATACGTCTCTCTTACGGCGGCTCCGTCAACTCGTCCGACCTAATCGGGCGCAGTGTGCTCGATACAGTAGTGGACAGCTCGGGCCGCAGTGTTGTGCTGCATGAGCCGTCAATGGCATCCTACATCATCAACAGCGCGCGGTATGCCACGCCGGTACAAGCCCTATTGTATCAATTGGCCTTGAACTATGGCTAACTTTCGTCTTTTGTCTCTAGATCTATCCCCATGATGCAAACATCATCGTCTCGCTCCTTGACTTGAACCTCCCTCGTCCTGGAGAAGAGGAGTATGACACCGACCATACGCCTCCGCCGTTCGAGATATTCGAGGCTGGAACGGGCATGGGCAGTCTAACACTGCACCTCGCTCGAGCTCTCCATGCTGGAAACCCAGCTATACCTCCCAGCTTGCGCAACGCCCTCTGCAGTGCGCGGTATAAAAGGGACGAATTCGGCCTCGACCTCTCCCCCGAGGTTTCAGCAGAGTACGACACTTACAAGAATAATCGCCGGGCCATCTTGCACACTCTTGACCGTAACCCCAAGCATTCAAAAGCTGCGCATAGCCTCATTCGTCAATTCCGCCGTGCACTCTACTTCCCCACCGTTGACTTCCACGTCGGCTCCATCGACGAATACCTCTCTTCCCGCCTTGCTCAGACAAACAACGAGCCCTTCCTCTCCCATGCCATCCTCGATCTCCCCTCGGCGCACGACCACGCCGAACCCGTCATCCAGGCCCTCCACTCCAACGGCCTACTCATCATCTTCACTCCGTCCATCAGCCAGATCGCCGACTTCCAAGCCTGGATACTCCGTTCAGGACAGCCCATACGTCCAGAGAGGGTCATTGAGCTGCCTGTCTCCACCACGGCTGATGGTGTGCGTGATACTGGTGGCGGCAAGGAGTGGGATGTCAAGACAGTCATTCCCAAGGACCAGCCTGATGGTGCCCCTGTGCAAGTCATGCGACCCAGAGTTGGTGATCGCATAGCCGGCGGTGGATTCGTTGCTGTGATGCGTCGATGGCCTGCTGGACAGGTACCGTCTGAAGCTCAGTCCTTGGGCGATGAGGCTGTCTCTGAGCTGGATGAGCTCAGTGGGACTGACGAGGTGCCCGAAAGTGAGAAGCCATCCGAGAGCTCATAGACCTCCAAATGGCATTTCACTTGTCCTGAAAGCAACTCTTCCATGTACACATTCTTGTATATTACACGAAAATCTGTATGATAGCTACACTCAAGGATAAACATGTAAATACGACCACGAACATGACATCAATAGAGTAGACGAATTCATGAGGAATCAAACAAACATCGCTTGCTATTTCGTTCTCGCTTATCCCCAAGACATGAAGGGTATCTCTATGCACATGCTAAATAAAACATCAAGTCGTATCCTCCCCCAAAAGTCATCATCAAGATTTCGTCACATCATCCTTTTTCCAAAGTACCTAAACTTTGCACTCCAATTTCTCCCCAAACTTTGCTGTTCGGCGGCGGAGACCAAGAAGTGCAATGTCCAGCATTGCCCCCTATTAATTCCATGCCAGAAAGCCATTCATCAAATGGTGAAAAGAAAAGAAATACCAATGCATCCAGTGCGTGGTCACTCCGACCTGCGGCACCGAACATTAAACGAGTAAGAAATGCAACGATAGTAGAGTGTCTCGCGTATATGAGGCGAGACAATGAGCATGCGTGGCGTGGTCAAGTTCCAAGGTGTTGCTGACCTTGCTTGACCTAGTGAGAGTCGAGATAATGTTGTACATCCCACGCATGAGGTTCTGTAGTTGGGGCTCGCGCCCGTTGATAATCTTCCGTCATGATGTATACCTGCCCAATGCAATGACAGAAAGGAAAATATAAAGGAGTGTGGGTTAATCAAACACTGGTGATGCGTTCCAGTGGAGCTCGGGCACAGCAGACCATGAGCTTCAAGCTTGTTCCAAGCTCCTCGCACTCGGACAGTAGATGTCTGTCACTCCAGATGCTTCTTCCGGAGGGGTTCTCCGCTGCATTCTCGTAGCAACGTGTGTACCACCAACGACCAACACGGCTAACCATCTTGGTGATGCCCTCGTCCGCCAAGGGGCTGTTGTCGCTCATCATCTCAGAGAGGCTCGGCTGATCCTTCTTGCTAGCGACAGTCTTGCCTTTCCCTTCGTTCGGACGAGTAACGGAGCTGGCAACAGGCACACCAACACGCGCAGCCTTGATAGTGGTGAAACCAGCCTTGCCCAAGAGACGCAGAATGAGATCCGCGGTCGAGCCGAGACTCGTATCCGGGGTCTTTTCGTTGATCCTCTCCTTGAGTCGGCGTACCGTGCGACGACCTCGGTTGCCCATATTGTTCAGGTCAACATCGAGAATGGAGAGCTCGATGTAACCACCAGGCTTCAGCACGCGTCGAGCTTCTGTAAGAATGCTGCGATAGTATGCCTCTGGCGCCGCCACAGGGAACCGGTAGACAACCGCCGTGAAGCTTTGGGGGGCAAAGGGAAACTTGTCGAGGTGAGACATGTACTGGATCTGGTGGTGGTTTGGCGGGCTAAGAGGGAAGCTTGAGGATGAACTCTTGAGTTCTGGGGGCAGAGGAGCTCGAGGGGACAGATTGAAGAAGGTGGCAGCTGGGTAAGTTTCGGCAGCGTAGAAGGACCAGTCATCGTTACCGAGGCCATCAATCACCAAGATGGAGTGTCGCTTCAGAGAGCCCTCGACGGGAACGAGCTCATGGCGGACGTCGCTAAAGAGCACATGTCCAAAGGTGAGCCACTTGCTGACCGTCATTGAACCAACCCGTAGGTTGACTTGCGCAAGTGGGGAGCCATCCTCAGAGGAACTGCTGCCGTTCGACCGTCTTGTACCGGAAGATGACTGGCTGCCTCGCCGCGATCCTGTGACCGCCTTGACGATCTCGGTGCTCTTGTTGCGGTCTCCATAGCCCGAAACAAACTCAGAGACCGAAAAGGAAGCTGTGGGGCTTGGGTGAGGTTGGAAAGCAGCCTTCAGTCTCTCTGTCATATCAGCACTGCAGGTGCTGGAAATGGTCGTCGCCTTTGACATCCTATCTGCCTTTCGATCGTCGAGGACAATTGTGGGGGATTCCAGAGGCTTCCCCTTGTTGGACAGCTTCGACTGATACCTCTCAAGGTGGAAAGGAACTCCCTTTGATGAGGTAGCTGAGGGTAGTCCCTTGGCAGCGTCCTCACCAAGAAGATCATCATACTCATCCCAGACCTCATCCTCGGCTGGGGGGTCATTGGGTTGAGGAATGACGGCAGTGGAACCGGCGAATGACAGGAGCCCAGAGCAGCTGGAGCTGGATGTACCAATTGTCCCTTCAGAGCCCTTCCTGGGTGAAAAGGCTAGGAATTCCTTTTCAACCCGGCTAATCCCTGGAGACATTCCAGAGATCGAGCCCTGCGACGAAGTTTTGTTGGTGCTTCCTATCGTCGAGCCTTCCATGGTGAGTTCGGGGACAGGAGTTGATGGCTTGGGGGGTGTTGGGCCCTTGGCAATCGAGTCGACGTCAGGAACCTCAAGATTAGGAGGATCCAGTTGCAAGCTAGCCCTGAAGGGACGAGAAAAGCTCTTGGGGGAGGCAGTATTCTCAGCCCGGTTGCTCACCACCTTGGGGATCCTACCGACCTGGGGAAGCCTGCTGCGTCGGCCCGTGGTGGTACTCGATGATGTTGGTTGAACAATTGGTACCTTCACAGTTTGCTGAGCAGGAGGTGATCGGACTTTGGCTTTGGCCTTGGGCTCGAGGCTTCTCCTCCGAGCCTGCTGAGCAGGTCGTGCCAGAGAACTCGTGGACGAGCGCACCTCGGGTGTTTCTTGGGGGGGTTCGGGGGTTCCACCAAGACTAGGCGACTTCCCATAAACTTCGGCGTACCTCAAGACTTCTTGAACGTCCATAGGCTCGCTGTCGTCTTGCTCAGACGAGTCCATCATAGCATAGAAGGCCATAGGCTTCTTCTCAACAATCTTGACTGTGGCAGCAACCTTCTCGCTTTGCTGGGGAACTTGCTGGCCACTTGTTGACCTTCCAAACAAGTTCCATTTCCGAGGCGAACGTGGTCTCTTGACGAGCTTCTTGGGAGCAGGATGGGCAGGTCTCGCCTCGCGAGAAATCTCGCGTTGCAACTCAAAGTGAGAGTCGTCTGACATGACACTGGTATCAAAGCTCGTCATAGGTGATGTGGCAGTGCCAGATGTGTTGATAGGATGGGGAAGTCTCAAAGGATCCTCAGGCGAGGCCCGGAGACGCTGAACAGACCTCCGAAAAGCAATAGTTGAGTTCATTGTAACAACGTCAGACTCACTGCTCTCAGAGGGTCGGCGAGGGCTGAAGGCAGGATGAGGGGTACGTGACATAGGTGATGGCCACAAGGTGTGCCGAGAGTTTTTGCGGACATGTGAACTTCCAGGCTTGGGCAGATCACTACTCAGACTTTGAGAACTCTCAGTCCGAGGCAGTTCTGAACTCGCATTTCGGTTTTCGACAACCTCACCTCCGGCAATGACCACAGGGTTGACACGGTCGGACAAAAAGGAGTCGTTGCTGGCGAGGGTCTCCTGCGACGATTTGTTTCCACGAACCAGTTTGCTGATGCTCCCACTGCGTCGTTTATGAGTGCCGAGACGTCCATAGCCTTCATGGCCGGTGCCAGCTGCAGGGCCTTTGCGGACAAGCTTCTTGTCCTTTTCATCTTCTTTTTCCTTCTCCTTCTCCTTCTCCTTCTTGTCCGGCTGAATTACCTCTGCAGTCTTTTTGCGACCAAAGAAAGGGAACCGCGAGAAGGAGCTCGGCACATGAGGGCTTGGTGTGCGAGTGGCTCGAGGCTTCTCAGCAGGCTTGGCCTTTTTGGGTTCCGTCACCACTCTTGTCCCGGACCGAGAAGACATCTCGCCTTTGATAGGGAGTTGAGACGTCGACGATGCCCTAGTGCCATGGGAAATCTGCGTGGTAGGAGGCGAGAGAGTGGAAGGGATTCCCGAATCACTTCCCCGTCTTTCTATCGGCAGCGATTGGGAGGAAAGGTTGCTGTGGATGACCGGTACGGCGCTGAATAGTTGTGACTGCATGTCTGGGGTGCCATCTCGGCTGGGTCGTGAAGGCGGGATGGCCCTCGGGGAAGCGGAGGACTGGGTCCGGTCAGGTGAAGGGGATCGCAGAACAGGCCGTGATACCTTTCGCACGCTCCTTGGCGATGAGGTATCCTCCCTAAAGTGCTGTGAAGACTTTCGTGGTGGAGGGCTTGGGGGTGGTGGTGGCAGTTTCTTGTGCTTCTTGATGGTGGCTTCTCGAACAGTCGAGTTTGAGGAAGAAGAAGCCAATGATTCTCTAACAGACGCCAATCCATGGGGATCAGCAGTGATGGCATCGACCTCATTCGGGATGCTGCCAGCCCTTCGTCTAGTAACCGGGGGCCTAGTGATAGAAGGACTTTGTAATCGGCCTTTGACTGGGTTGCTGCGATGAGGCACAATCAGGCAAGGCGACTGGGAAGCAATCGAAGTCGGTGTGGTGTCACGGCTGTAAGGGCCTGGTCCAGGAGATTCCGAAAACCTAGTCGAAGGACTACCACTAGTTCCGGAAAAGAGCAAACTGGCCGGGGTAGGAGGCGGAAGGTCGTGTGTCGCTAATCGAAATGGAACTTCAATATGGGTCTCCGAGCTATCTGAAGGTCGTCGGAAGTTTCGATATCGGTCGAGCTCAGGGTAGATGACCGATGACCTTCCAGGCTTCGTTACCTCAATCACCTCTGCAACTTGAATCTCGGCTGGGCTGCAGGTGAGTTCCCGATCCAGTGGTGTTCCAAAACGTTCCGGGTCAAGCGAGCTCTGTTGTTTTTGCTGGGATGATAAGGAGCTCGTTCGAGATGATCCATTGCGAGTTGTCGTGACATCGCGGGACAGGGACGACTTCTTCCTTCGAAGGACATTGGGATTAGACTTTGAGGCATTATCAGCGGGCCTTGCTGAAGAAGATGATCCCGAGCCTCCGCGGTTGTTAGCAGTTGATCGGACAGTTGTTGAGGTGCTGGTAGAACCCCATGATTGTGCTTGGTGGTTCAGGCCGGGTCGTGGTGTTGGTGTTGGGATCGAAGGTCGTCGAGTAGAAGGCGAAGGCTGAGAAACGCTTCTGCCTGCACTTGGGCGCGAGCCCGAAGAAGGCCTCGGTAATGATCGCGGAACTTCCTCCCTCTTGGTTGTTCTGTTCAACGGCCTCGTCGGGCCCAGCAGACTTCCGGGTTCGGCCAACCGTCTGCTGCGAGAGCCTTCCACGGGCCTGGTCGGCAGACCAGACCCCGCTCTAAGAGATTCCATCTTCCAACCTTCAGTGCCGAAACTGTGTATCTCGGCCCATGATTTACAAGCGGGGGTAGATGGGAGAGGGTTTTATGAGATATATGAAAGCCAAAACGAACGAGATTGTGAATCGAGCGAGCAGAAAGTCGTCGGTATTAGTGCGGAGGGGGTTGGCTTGAGTGGTGTGGGACTGAAACCGTTCTCGGGCTGTCAAGGGTGTATCGACTCGAAGAGGGATAGTTCGGTGGTGATGGTGTGAGAGAACCCGCGTCTAAGTCGTAGAGTTGGCGCTTCCGTCGATGTGATGGCTGACTGACTGAGTCGTGAAGACGATACGATATGATGTCCGTGTACGAACGTTTGTTTGATGTGTAAGTGGGGATGGGGGTATTTGAGACTCAAGGAAAAGAAAAAGACGCAGGAACAGACTGCGGTGGCAAAGAAGAGAGCGGGATATAGAAGTAGTAGAAGACATAGCAGCGGGGAGGCCCGAAAGGGCGACGGGAGCATAGTATTTAGGTGATGGACGACTTTCCGGGGCATAATCATGACTGGACGAGGGCAGCCGGTACATGAGTACCTTGGCCAAGGGACGAGGGTACTTGAGAGGGATGGGCGATTCTGACTGTGGCGCTTGCGACCCTGGCTGGGCAGCAGACATGGGACCCTGGAGCCCTCCATCGAGACCCTGGTGTGGGCGTGTGAGTGTGTGCCTGTTGAGGCGTCGACATCTGCGTGGAGTCGCCGATATCGATGGCAGGCCAAGGACCACGGCTTGAGTCATCTCTTTGGCCAGCGAGCCTTGCCAGCGGACCTCCTCACTAAGCGTCTGCCGTTGTGCGCACTGCGCCGCACCTCTCCCACGGGGTGCATGGCCCCATGGTCCTATGGGACGGCCCTTGAGGCGTCTTGGGCCGTTGATTGGGCATCGAGCCCTGGCTGGGATTTGCACGCATTTCTGGGAGCAACAGCATCGTCTGCCACTGGCAGCCCATCGGGTCCGCTCGACTTGTGAGCCGGGAGCCATTAAGAGGGTCCTGGAGACTCTTCAGCGGGGCCGCTCGGCTCCCAGGGGACGTTTTTGGACGACGGTTTGTGGTTTGTCCATCATGGCTCGTCGACGGCTGGGCTGGGCCGTTGGCAAAGTGGGTGGGCCGTGGGAGGGATGGGCCGATGGCCGGGGATCGTTGGCCAAGGCTAAATCTGGCCTGCGACGGTGCTGCGAAGCTGTCATGGAGGGGGTTATCAAGAAACTAGAGTGGAGAGGACATGGCGAAGGAGCGAACAAAGTCATCGAATGAGTGTTGAATACGGGCAAGAGAGCAAAAAGCCTGACCAAGAGCCAATGCGGGTGCAGGGGATGAAGTCAATGAGAGATGGATTTAGTGTGTCTTGATGTTGGTAGCCTCCGTTGTGAGTGGTAATAGAGGTGGACGAGGGCGACGTCGAGGGGCGAAAAAATGATATTCGCAACTGACTGATTATGTTTTCTCGTCTTCTTTTCGCTCTTTTCTCCAGGGGCCATGCCTGTCGGTGATGGGAAACTCGTTGGCATTTGCACCTATATGGTGTTGTGATAAAGCCTCGTCCGCGGAAGCACACAGGCATCAGCTAAGGCGGGTGTGATGTGTGGAATGCAGCCAGGACAGTCTCCGAGCCTGGACAGTTGCGGAATACCGAACGGCCGTCACTGCCTGTAACAGTCGTTCTATCCCCAGCCCAGCAACTGAAGTCGTTGCTAGGCTGCTGCATGTCTTAGACATGCATACAGAATGTCTCACTTTTCTCTTCTCCGACAGGTCGATCTCGGCTATATGCCTCTGTATGTTTCGCCCAAGGTCCTAGTCCCATCATGGAGAGTGTCAGCAATGTCCTGCGATCATGCCCAAGCAACAATAACAACAACAAAAGACGAGAGACGATTGTGTCGGCCGCCCATGAATCTAGACAATGGGAAACAGAGTTGAAGGCTTGAAGTGGCGATGGCGCTACGTGGATCCTTCCCAACGTTGGTGATTCCCGTCTCCACTTGAATTGGCATCCAGAAAGTGGAAGTCGCCCGTCGTGACGACCCGGTCGGCTCCTTCCTAACCTATTGTACTGTAACTTAGCCCCCGCATCTGTAAGAACTAAATGATCTGATAACACCATCAGCTTTTCTTCTTCCCAATGTTGTTTGCTCTATCTGCGTTCAACAGACGCAGAGTGAGCATCCAAATCTCCAATTGCCTCGAATCAACATCCTGGATGACAGGGCGCACTCGCCGTTGGTTGTCCTGAGCGAGTCTGGGGGTGTGAGCTGGGACCAGATCCTCCCCTGTGGACGGTCCAATATTCCCTGCATCTCTCGCTTCACCCTGCCCCGGACCATCTGCACGCAGCTTGCAGTAGTTTTCATCCAGCCTCTCTGCAGCCAACAAGCGATGCCGCGACAAGAATAGTATCATTCAGGCGTTTTTCTTCTCTTTGGGAGGCCGTTGGCGCGGTCCCGCGTCTACGTAGACGCGACAATACCGACGCTTTTCGGCACTCGCCTGTTCATGATGCTGGACTCGAGCCGTGTCAAGCATCACTCCAGAATTGGAATGTCTACCGAAGCCTTGCGGTCGACCAGAAGAAAAACTCGTCCTCAACGTTCAGCCATCCCGCTGTCTCATTTGCTTTGTCCCGCGGGCAAAGGCTTCCAGCATCCATCTCTCATTCGCTAAAAAGGCCACGCAAAGCGCCCTTCTTGCCTGGGACTGGCCATCGTCGAGGCATTCTTGATGATCCCATTGGCCGTCTCGCAATGAATTTCTACCAATGATGATGGTGGAGTCGCAATCGGTTGTTTCACTCCCCCTTCCATCAGGATGGAGTCAACAAACCCTTTCTCCTGCATGTCTATCCTTACAGAAATGGACGACTAGTCCACAACGCCCATCTTATCCGCCGTGTCGAGACCGAACCAGTTCGCCAATCCTCGCGCGGACGCTGCATTCTGCCCGTCAGTCGTCGCGCAGTTATGGAGTCTTGGTGAGGCTTATGGACATGGGTGGTATAAACCAACGAGGGGCAGGGGTTACAGCGAGGCGAGTCCGTAACGGAGGTTCGACAAAGTCTGTTAGTCGAGAGATGACTGGAAAGACCGGTTTTCGCCCATGATCGATTGCGCAATGGCGGATTGCTGGCTACTTCAAGTTCACCGCCATCCATCGTTAGTCCCGTGACGAGCGCCTTAGTATCAAGACACTCTCACGCGACCAAAGAAGGAAGCCGGATCCAACGGTCGGCAGTCAAAAGAAACGTGAGACCCTGGCCTCACGACGTCATTTCCAATGCGAAAGGCATTCTTTGGAATCCCATATCCCAGCTGGCCCATCACGAGGACCGCTCCCGACCGCTCGGTGAGATTTTGAGCCTCCAGGTGACCTTTGACTACAGGACAATGGGCCATTGATTGCCCACGGCTAGGCCCGCCCCGGCCCAGAAAGTTAGAATAGAACAAGCTCCCGCGCAACGGAGACGGAGACCAAGTCCAGGCCAGCTGAAACCCGCATCTTGGACGGTGGCGAGGTTAATGCGCTGGCATGGAGATTCATGACGTCGTCATCTGAGTGAGATGGAAAACCAGGCAACATTGAAAAAGAAAGGCTCGATAGTCTCAGATCTTTGCTGCAGGACCGACATGGCTTGGGAACCCGTGAAATCGGCGCTTGATTTCCAAAAGTGGAAATCCAAGAGGCATCCCACGGTCTACTCCGCCACAGAAAAGAGACCCACGGCGCCACAAGCTTGTTCTTGGGTTCTTCGGTGGTGAGGCTGGTGCCCCTGCTTCCACGCTTCTGCAACTGACGTGGCACCTCGCGCGTGGCTGGCCACCCCGTCCAGCATCAAGCCTCGTCAGGCTAGCCGCATCGTCGATGTGGCTTGTTCTGCCGGCCGAGCGAATGGCAGATGGGCCAGGAGGGTGAGCGGCGCCTCTTTCGTCTGTTCCCTGCCCATCAGACGCCCCTGCAAAGTCACTCGAATTCCAGATCCAAGTACTCGGTACTTGGGCGAGCGGTGAGCCAGAGAAACAACGCCGTTGTGCAGCTCTGCCTCGATGCCAACTCATCAAAGCTGCAATCTCTCTCCAGCCGGCCACGCGCAAGCCTCCGATGGGGTTTCACTGCGAGCCCATTTCCCCCTCGTAGGGCGATCAAAGCGGGCCCCCAAGAAGGAGACGAGACTCGACCGCAAACGACGGGCTGTGAGCGACGAACGGGCGACGGAGTCGCTGGAGTCGCTGGGGACGTCGAATGGCCCAATTGCTTAGCCGCCTCTCCCAATCGTAGCCGCCAGACGGCTGGGCGACAAGGGTCGCATCGTCGCGTGCGCAGGGGTTTCGCAGCCTGGATTGGCCTGTCCGCTGAGACTGGACGGAGCATAGCGTCTGGTAACGTGACGAGCTAGAGGCGACCAAGTTGTTGGTCATGGCTGTATCTCACCTGTGTCGGTGGGCTATCTCGCCTGGTGGGTGTTGTTGTCGTTGATCGAGTCGTCGCCGGCCATTGAGGTATGGCTGCCACAGCACGTTTGCCCAGAACGGGCTCGGAGGAGAGCGACATCATCCGAGAATGGGCACCGTGGCTTGCGTTCATAAACCCTTTGGGAATGCGGGATTAGCGCGTCCATCCAGCATGTGTCTCTCGTTGGTTGCAAAGGCTCTTGGGCTATCTATCGCGTGCTGCTTAGTCCATGAGTGTTGGACCAAGACCAGGCTGACTCTTTAACCCCCTATGCAGATTCGTCGGGAAAACTCTGACTTGATGGTCCGAAGCCCTTGCGAATCGTCGGCAGTTGGGTCGGCCTCTGCTCTTGATAGGGCTGTGACTCTGACGGGCCTCGTATGAGCCGGCCTAGAGCAGAGGACTAAGAATCAAGACGAGGCGTCATCCAACGTTGCTGAAGTCCCTCGGCGCCGAATCGACTTTGAGAGTTGCCCATCCTTTACCAACCAACTCTTTCGCTAAGCACGCGAGCCTTGGAGGCCCTTTGACGTTTGGGTTGCAACTCGAGGATGGAAAAATTTTCATGTCTTGATTGCCAAGTTTCTTCATCTCTCCATCAAGTCAACATGGCTGAGCCATCTAACTGTATGGTAGGGTAGCGGCGCGGCTTCCAAGTGGCTCTCGGACAACAGACGGGGGGCGTTGTTACACTAGACTCGTGGGCTCGGCAGTCGAGGCAACCTAAGGCTTGTGCAACGGCGCACCCAACTCCCGCAGTCTAAAAGTCGAGGAAGCCTTCCTCGTCATAAGTATCGAGGCTCATCGTTGTCTTCAGTGGTTCCTAGAGAAGGGGGGGATCTCCTGCAGTGTGGGTGACTAGCCTTGGTCCCCCTTCACGGTTCGTCTTCCGAAGCCTCTCGGTGTACTGGGTGGACGAGGCTATTCGCGGTCCACTGGATCTGTCCAAGTTATCGAGGCCGGATGATTTGAAGATGTCTCCCCGATATGCAAGTTGCTCTAGTGCACACCAAGTCAGATCTCGGATGTTGACTGCGCCCCTGAGAATCAGAATTTTCATCAAAGGAGCGATCAGGATTGCAAGAGGCCACCGTGTTCGACTAAGGACGATAGACAAAGAAGGGAAGAGAGGGTAGGCTGTTGGTCCCCATGAAGTTCTGTACGATGTTGGTAAGTGATACTCCTGTTGTCGTCGCTAACAAGACTAGGGATGCCAGCTACCTTCGAGGTAGACGCTGGCCACCTACCTATGCCTCGAAATCGTTCAGACTACCTCACTCTCTCACACACACAATGGACTCGAATCTTAATCGACAGGTGCCCGTAACGCCGATTTCCTCTTTATTCGTTTTACCCTTGATAATCTGCGCTTGAAAAGATGGAAACAAAAACGAAACCAAGAAATGTTGTACAACTGAAAAAGTCCATTCACGTAGTCTGATCTGCCCTGTCGCACCCCTTCCGAGCTCCTTTCCTTTCAACCAAAAGTCATGTCGCCGTTGCCGCGTGTTTGTGCTTCAGAGTCGTTCGTCTAGTTCCCAGCGAACCGAGCAGCGCGCTTCTCCGCCTTGGCCTTCTCCGACGGGTCATCAAGGATGCTGGCCCGGCTTCGAGTTTCACGGGTCGACTCGTTCCGAGCACCACCACGGCCGCCGCGGCCACCGCGACCTCCCCTTCGTCGGTCATTCCTTCGGTCAAGGCTCTGTCGCTTGCCAGGGCGGTTGCTCTCAGTGGAACGGTTACCCTCACCGTCGCCACGGTCACGACCTCGCTTTCGGGAGCGCTCTGGAAGGGCCGAGTCAAGGGTGGATGCGAGCTCCTTCTCGTCTAGGCCGAATCGCTTCGCTCGATCAGCCCTCTTCTTTGCGTCCTCATCCTCCTCAAGACCAAAGCGCTTGGCGCGGTCAGCACGCTTCTTGGCCTCGTCATCAGCAGCAGTGGACGAGAGACCGATGGCGTAGGACTTTTCAGGCTCAGCAGGCGCCTCTGTCTCAGCAGGCTTCTCTGCAGCGGGCTCCTCAGCTGCCTCGGTCGCGACGGGAGCTATCTCAGTGACGGGAGCCTCAGCAGTTGCAGGCTCGGGCGCAGCAGCGGGAGCGGGAGCGGGAGCAGCAGGCTCAGCGGGGGCCTCGTCGTCGCTGTAACTGATCTCGTCCTCTTTGTTCTCAGCTAGGGATGGAGTTAGCCGTCGAGTTCGAGAGATGGATTTGCGCGCGCAAAAAGATGCAAGTCAATCGCATAATCAGGATTCGATAGACGTACCAGGCTTCGCCTCACCCTCGGCCTTCTTATCATTCTCCTGGAGTCGCGCGATCAGGTCTGCCTTGTTGCCGGTCTGGGGAAGACCCTTTTCGGCAAGGAGCTTCTTGAGCTCAGGCACCTTGAGCGAAGAGTACTCGGCCATGGCGCGCGCGACGGAATGGGAGCGGTATGAAGAGATGGATTTGGTAGGGGAGACGTATGCGATTGCGATTGCGGTGGTTTTCGCGGTGATGGGAGAGAAGGGGAGATGGAGCGACGATGAGAAGGTTGAAAGAGCAGTCTTTCTTTGTTACGCGGTTTGAGGGATGACGCTTGGATGGGATGGGCTGGGCGGGAGTGGATGTGGATTTTAGCGGGACGCGCTCTCTTGCTCTCACTCTTTCTTTGTTGGCAAATTTGGCTGAATTCTGTTCGCAGGGAGATGCGCACGGGCCACAAAGGCTTCTGAATGGCTGCCCTGTGGCAGTAAAGGCAAGCAAGCTCCAGAAGAGCTCCCCTCATCTCAGCCCAGCCCAGCTCAGCTCCGCTTTCATACTGTGAGTTACAGTACTTGGTCGAAAGGCCTTCTGAAAGAAACTGTGGTTGGCCTCAATCCAAGGCAACGACGCACGCAACCAGCCTCATCTTGCGACGCTGCCTTGCCAGTCATTTTCGAACAAGTAGTAACGGAGGCTTGGCTGCATCGTGCGAGGGAAGACAAGACGGACACTGCTCATGTGGCTTTTCCGTCACAACTTAACGTTGACCAACAGAAAAAAGTCAGTGCGAGGTAATTAGAAAAGCACGAAAGAGGAGCCCGCATTATTAACTTGAGGGTCTCACGTGGCCGCATTTTGAGTGCATGTAACATCCAACTTGGGGTTGCCTGCCTGGAGAAAAGGGTCAGCAAGAAAATGGAGAGAGTAAAAGGGGGATTCGAGATTTGTTCTCGCTCTTTTCCTCTGGAAACTGGCGTTAAAATTAGAGTGTCCTCGGTCGACAAGCTTATAATTGCCATTAATAATGTCATTGACGATGGCTTGTTTTAAGTTGCAATTCCCCAGACTTTTTCCATGTTTGAATTGAATTGAAGGAAGGAAGCCTCCCTCCCTTAGATCTAAAACCCCCCCAACTCCCGGGTCCTAGCCGATGTTGCTCCACTTGCCCTCATGACCATGACCAGGGGAAAGGAGGAGGAGACACGGAGACGGAGCATCCATCGTAATAGATTGAAGTCTTGGCTTTTTTTTTTACTCCCGCTCCGTTCGTTCCTTCTTCAAGGTTTTGCAAGGCGCATGCATGTTGACACACGGAAAGCTCTTTCCCCCTGTCTCCTGGCTCCTTGCCGGGCCTTCCTTAGGTATTAGCTCGCCACATGCTCTTTCCTTGCCGCCCGCCGACTCAAACAACGACCAAACCAACCTCAACCTTACATTCTAACATTTCTCCCCGTCTCCACGTTTTTGTCGATCGCCTCCTCTCTATCGACACTCTAGACGCTTGCGACGACCGGCCTGGAACGTAGAGGCAACTGGCCCGACGACGATAGCTTCAACGCTCTCGAGCGACCGCAACGCGCTTCTCACCGTCGCATCCCAGACTCCCGAGGCCTCCACACAGACGTCTTGTTCGACCTTGGGCCCCTCCGAACCATGCAATAGTAGCCGACGACCCCTTTCGGAAGATGCGAATAATCCAACCCGCGACCCAGCTCCCGAATGCTTGTTCCGTTTCCCGTTTCTTGGCTACCGCTGCTTGAAGTAGCTCGTGGTCCATCTTTCTTCCTTGCTTGATCAAGCAGCTTCTCCCCAAAAAGTTGGGTTCAATTCTTGTTCAATTATCACATCATGACTCGACGAATTGTACGCCTCACCTTTCCTTCGTATGACAGGCCATCAACTGACCGCTCCGTCCATGGATTCAGGTTCGGACAGCTGCCCAGCTTACTGGCGCTGCCATTTTCGCCTTCCTCATCATCGCTTTCCTCGACCGAAACTACCGTGTCCTCCCCAACTCTCTCCATGGCTACATGCCCTCCCACCACCCAGGTCTTGTCGTGACAGACGCTACGATAGTCACCTGCTCCAGCCTCAACCCTTTTTCGTCATGCGACCTCGACGCTAAAGAATGGCACCGAGTCGACAAGGATCTATACCTCGGGAAAACATGGACCACCACCGCCTACCTATACGTCAGTCGCAAACACGAGGAGGACCTCACCGAGGATGACACCGTTGTCGTGGATATTATGGTCGGCAAGCTTCGCCCTCCGCCAAAGGGAGAAACAGAGGATCTATGGGAGTCTCGTCCCGCGGGACTCTGGCTCAAGCGATCAGCCAAGAAGCAGGCCAGCGACTCTAATCAGGCCGTGACCGACCTGGATGTTCTTTTTGGAGATGATGCCGTGGAGGCAAGAGACGGCTGGACTATTACTGGAACGCCTCTCCTCCTCAACACAGGCGGTACCCTACCGTGCGTGCAGCTAACCGTGCGCCGAGGTCCCCATCGCGAGATCAAGAAGCCCCAGCCCCGGATCCGAGATGACGGTCGATACAAGATCATGCAGATCGGCGATCTGCATCTTAGCACCGGTGTTGGCGAGTGCCGCGAGGCCGTTCCAAACACCTACAACGGCGGCAAGTGTGAGGCGGATCCCCGTACTCTCGACTTTGTCAGTCGTGTCCTTGACGAGGAGAAGCCAGACTTGGTCGTGTTGAGTGGTGACCAAGTCAACGGTGACACGGCGCCAGATGCGCCAACAGTGAGTGTTCCTGTTCCACCCCGTGGATCCCTTTCTAACATGACCCAGGCTATGTTCAAGATCTTGTCGATCCTGATTGAGCGGAAAATCCCCTACGCCGCCATCTTCGGAAACCATGACGATGAGAAGACCATGTCTCGCGAGGCCCAGATGGCTATCATGGAGTCTCTTCCCTACTCCCTCTCTATAGCCGGACCAGCCGAGATCGACGGTGTCGGCAACTACTATGTCGAGGTTCTTGCTCGAGGCAAGACGGATCACTCTGCCCTAACCATCTATCTCCTCGACACACACGCTTATACGCCCGATGAACGCAACTTTCCCGGTTACGACTGGGTCAAGCCCAACCAGATTGAGTGGTTCAAGAAGACGGCTACTGGCCTCAAGAAGAACCATGATGAGTATACTGGTCGGCACATGGATATTGCATTTATCCACATTCCCCTGACCGAGTATGCCGACTTTAATCTCCCCCGCGTGGGTGAGTGGAAAGAGGGCGTGACTGCCCCTGTCTACAACTCTGGTTTCCGCGACGCCCTCGTTGAACAGGGCGTCGTCATGGTCAGCGCCGGACAGTGAGTGCCCCGATATCGTCTTGATCTAGATGAATGCTAACTCGGTTTTAGTGACCACTGTAACGATTACTGCTCTCTCTCCTTGTCAGGTGAAGGAGAGAACAAGACTCCGGCCTTGTGGATGTGCTACGCTGGTGGCTCCGGTTTCGGTGGCTATGCTGGCTACGGTGGCTACCATCGCCGTGTGCGTCTCTTCGAGGTTGACACCAACGAAGCTCGCATCAAGACCTGGAAACGGCTCGAGTATGGCGATATTGCTGCCCGTATCGACGAGCAGATCATTGTCGACGGTGGCAAGGCCCAGGCCAAGCCCAACCCTTCATGAGTATACGACGCATTGCTTTCTTCTGGGACGCACCCCGAGGATTCATCTCGCCCGTTTTATATACACTTTCTTGTATCCATGTTTTGGGACAGTGTGCTGTCGTTGGAGCCAGTCGCTACCCGTCTATAGAATGGGGCGGTCCTTTTTTTCTGTTTTACGAAAACTGCGTCTTTGGGTGACATCAAGGAGCACTTGGAATAGGGTGGGTTGTTTTTGTATATTAGTGGGAAGAGGTGACGATGGCATAACACAGCGTCGGTTCTGTTCTGTTCTGGATGGAGTTGTTCTTGGGTGCCGCATTTGATACGACATGAATACTATTCGGCTTCTTGGTTACCCTACACTATCTTGTGATTGATTGTAACTTGGCAATGTGTTCTTTATTATAGTTGAAGCCCAGCCCTTGAGGGATAACTGAGCCGAAGACCGATTGTGACTTGGGTTTTATGGGACGGTCAAAGCAGCAGAGACTATAACTGGTATCACGAAGCTTTCCAAGGTGATGAAGTAACATGATTCTATTTTATCTATCTAGTTGGGTTATTTATGCCTCCCTCCGTCCGCTGTATCACCATCTTTTGCCACCCCATTCTGTTCATCACACCGCATCAAACCCTCATATTCGACACCATTATGAAATGTCGCGTTTGAAGAGAGGGGGGATGTTTAACACAAAATTATTGAACATGCATTTATTTTCGTATCTGACGGAATTGAGGGATTGTTTAGTTTATCCCCATAGATGTCAAGACTTTACCAATGTCCCCATTCTTCGTATTCCCAGCTATAAAGAACTTATCCTACCCTATGCCTTTCGTTCTCGCCCTACGGGTCGTTATTCTGTACGAAAATGCGGAGATGTCAAATAAGAAATTACGAGAACCTGGAAGGTGTATAATAACCTCTTCAGTGTGGAGAATATCCGTTTAATTATTCACAATGTACCATGGTTCAACAGCAAACAAGTTCTTTAACAAGACGTGTATTGCTCCTCTCCCGCTATATACCACCCCTCGCCACCATCTTAGTAACAAAAAACCTCCTCATGAGCATCTCAAGGCCAAAAAAAGACAAGACTCAATGTACTATCCCAGTCCCCAACACCCCGTTCGACCCTCCCTTCCATCCAGACGCCATCAACCACCACCCATTTGTCTAGATGCTTATTGCAAGAAAAACAAGGGGGAAGCAACCCCCGGTATACACAGATGCAAGCAATTAAAAAAAAGAAGTCGAAAAAGGTTTGGTATCGCTGGGTTTCCCTTTCCACCGCTTATAAGCGGTAAGAAGAGAGGTCAAGAAAAGTGAGTTGGTGCGTACACCAAGGGGGGATATCAAAAGTTTGAGAAAAGGGAAATGATAATGATGCAACAAGAAAGTGCGGATATGAATATGCTTGGAATGCAGGTACGGTAGAAGGAAGAATGGGAGACAAAGGCTCCTTGTAAAGTGAGAGGAAGACACTTAAGCGGTGACAACCTCTTGATGGACGAGTCTCAAAA